ATGAAGGGTTCAAACAAAATGATTTTCAGTTTTGACATCATTACCATTTTAATGAATCTCATTAATTTAATGAATCACATTCTTTGCTAGGCTTTGCTCAATTTAGCTGAAAAGTAAAATTTTTTTTTAATTTCAAAGGTGACTTTGGTTTAGGAGGGGTACTGGTGTGGGTGTGTGTGTATCAGGCAACGAGGCGAAAGGACAACCTGAATGGGACATTCAGAGGCACACTGTTGTTGCCAAGTCCAGAGGTACCGTTGCTCTACCTCTAGACATCTTTTGACTCTAGGAAGGAACCAGAAGAAGGAATCTTCTACTGCAAAGATAAATCAGAAAGTTAAGTTTAAATCACATTTGAATACAATTTGTACCTCGCATAGTTGGCCTTTTCTCAGGAAACAGTACTTGCTTGAGAGTTAGTTTCTTCATCTAAATAGAAATTCTGTTACTATTTTAATGTAGTTTTAAACAATCTTGTTGAGATAAATCACGTTATAAATGAAGGAATGGGTTAATTTTTTAAGAGAGCATGAAGGATTTTTCTTCCTTGTATGTAGATGCTGTTGTGAAACTCTAGGTTAGAATCCAAGAGGTCCGATCGAAGAGCTTAGGCATTTTTTGAAATCTTGTGGACACAGTTTCTGTCTCTTTTTATGAGTGATGCTTATTTATCAGAGATTTAGCTAAGTGCCATGTAGTGTTGCAAATTCTTCCTTCAACATCTAAGTAAGTGGTTGTTCTGAGGGAATTTTTAAAGGTAACACAATTCTTTATTCCTTTCCCATTAAAGTGTAACCTTATCTGTTGACTTGTTTTCCCCTTTACCTTACAAAAGAATTGCTTTTATTATTTTTCTTTAGAGCTCATGACTACATTAGAATAACTAATGCTCACAGTGAAAACTGATTTTAAAGCAGCAACTTATGGGCAACATAGGATATAATTTCTTTAATTTCCTAGATAACATCTGCTTTATAACATTTTTTTGGTATTTTACACACTGGTGGTATCTTAGAAGGACACACTTCACTGACTTGATATTTTAGGATTTTGGAATTGGGATGTAATTGAAAAACAGTATTTGTTAAATATGGTTGATGTCACAGGGAGTACGATGATTCTTTTATTGCATTTCATAATAACCCATTTCTCTTCTAGATGGTTGTTATAGGCCACAAAACTTCACCCTGTTTAGAATTATTTAGTTTTACATGAGAGAATAGTTAAATAACTCAGTTCATCATTGGATCAGACCCATTGAATGGATACTTTCTTTAATAGTGACTTTTGCATCATTTTTTCATAGGCAGTGCTATTTAATGGGACAAAGCATCTGAAGGACTGAAGTTTGAGTTCTGACTTATTTCTTGGCTGTGTAACCTTGGACCAGTGTTCAAATTTTTTGAGCTTTACTGTCCTTGTCCATGAAATAGGGATACTACCTACATTGTCTGTTGTGAGAATGAAATGAGATCATGTCAAGAGCCTGTCACTTAGTTGGTACTCTAAAAATTAATGACAACCATTAATCATGACGATAACAATAATTTTTAGAGTTTGAATGTCACTGATTTGTTAAACATTCTGATACATGCTTTCCCATTGTCTGAGGAGAAGGAGAGGGAGAAGATTCGTTCTAACAGAATAGACAGTGAAAAACTGAACAGAACATCCCTGATTTGCTTATCTACTATTTTAAGAGATTCTTGTTCACTAATATTCATTGGAATTTGAGAACAGGTTGAGCAACTGATGTAGGAGATATTTTCTTTGCTTCACATAATTTGAAGAACACTGTCTACTTTTTACACCCTTTATATTTTTTTGACATGCATCCAAATTCTACATATTTTATATCTCATAAGACACTATTATTATATTGCATGCATATTATTTATTTAGATTTACCCAGATACCCACTGTTTTTCAACCCTGTCTTTAACTCCTTGTATTATCTGGTATCATTTTCCTTTTTTCTTTGGAACTGCCTTTAGAATTTCTTTATGCAGGTACCCTGGTAATACATTTTCTCTTTTTGCTTATCTAGAAATGTCTTTATTTCACCTTTATCTTTTGGAGGGAATTTTTTTGCTAGTTAGAGAATGCTATGTTAGAGTTATTTTTAGTTCTTGAATTTCCACTTGACTTAAAAAAAATAGATGCTGGCTCTCTGGTGAAATTCTTCATCTTGATATATTTTTTTATACCATGTTTGTTATTTTGAAGCCTTTGCCGGATAATAAGTAGGCTATTCGTGGATCTCTTTTTATTGTCTGTTTTTTCTTTTGATTTTCTTTCTTGGTATATCTGGTAGTCTATTACTGAAGTTGAGTTTCTGGAGAGTCAGGGAGCTAAAATGGGGGAATGTCACCTCAGTATGGTCAAGGACTAAGGGTTGAGTGAACAGAAAACTTGAAAACTTTGTAAGGGTCAGTTTACCCTTCAGTTTACCCGTGCTCCTAGAGTGTAATGCTCCAGGAATTACAACAAAAAGGTTAGAGCAGATACCAGAGATCTCCTCTTTAGTGGGTTTGGACTCTCATTTTTCTCTCTCCATGCTGTGAGGCTACTGAAATTTCCACAGAACAAGCACAGGTTTGAACTCACTTTTCTATAATGTCCTTCTCTCCAGGATCTTTGTCCCTCAAACCTTGGCTGCTTTGGCAGCCCCAGAGTCCAGTTTTTGTCTTCATATCTCTGTGAAATTGGCAAAAGCTCCATGAGCTCCTCTGCCTCTTGGCAGCTTCTTAAGGTTCTCAGTCTCTTGTCCAGGTTGACTTAAGACTCAACGCATGTACTCAGGTAAAAGCAGCACAAAGAAGATTGGGCTACCTCAGGAAGCTTCCTGCCTTACTAGATCTGGGATCATCAAACCCTGGCTGCCCTAGAGGCTCTCCAGGGTCTCAGACAGACTTTTTTTTTCATATCCCAGTTTTCTAATTGTTCTTGCCTTGGTTTGCTGTAAGCTACTTTGTCAGTCAGAAACCGTAGTTCCTCCATTTATTTTCTTTTCTGTATTGTGTATTGTGCAAAATCCTATTACCTGTCTCAGAATTAAGGAGTGTGATTGGTTAGTTTTGTGGTTAGGCTACCTGGATGAATGGAAGTGCCAAGTATCATTGGTTTTTCATTTACCTCACTATCATACCCTTTTACCTTCAGTTAGATATGTGGTCATTTCTTCCATTTTATAGTTTTATTTATTTCAGCGAAGGCAATATTTCAATGATGTCTTTAAGTGAATGAATATTTTAATATAGACAGTACAAATTTTAATCAGCTACTAATATTTCCAATTTTATATTAAAAGTGGACTATAATACTCAAATGCATGGTAAAGCCTAAACCTTAAAAAGCTGTATTTGTAAGGACGTGAAAAAAAAATGTGTGAAGAAAGGCCTTCACAAATGTTGTAGTATGTTTCTTAGTTCACCTTTATTTTCTCTTGACTAATAAGCATTATTTAAATGTGTATTTTTGGATGATTGTGGGAAAAATAAAATAGTGTCTTAAAACTATCTACAGTACAGTTTATGAGTATAATCATAAACATAACTAGACATACAACTTCTACCATAAGAATTTATAAGTGAATTATTGACATAAAAGGATCCTATCCATATACCCTAACTAAAGAATCAGGTGTTAAATTTAGAATTGGGAACAAAACTCCTCTAAATTCCTTTCTTCCTTATATGTCCTATATGTCCTCCTTTGCTTATTGTAACGAAGGACCTTTGGGGCCAAGATATTTTTAACAACATATATGATTGGAAGTCCTGCTGAATAATCAAGGAAAGAAGATCAATCTTTGACTTATTTTTTTCATTTTATCCTGTGCCATAGGCATAAAAATGCACCTTACAGACCTCCAGCTAGAAGGGGCTTCAGTAACCAAGGGCCCCAGCTACTGTGCTCTGAAATCCTCTGCTGCTTTTGCACTTAAGACATGTTTCCCTGGGGCGCTTGGGTGCCTCAGTCAGTTAAGCGTCTGCCTTCGGCTCAGGTCATGATCCCAGGATCCTGGGATTGAGCCCCACGTTGGGATCCCTGCTCAGTGGGGAGTCTGCTTCCTCTCCCTCTCCTCCTTGCTCATACTCACTCTCTCTCTCAAATAAATAAATAAAATTTAAAAAAGAAAAAAAAAAAAAGATATGCTTCCCAAGGGCTGCTTCTAGCCGGCGCCTGAGAGGAGCAGGGAGACTAAAGCAGGCTGGTCCCCGGAAATCAAGGAACTCTTGAAGGCTCACTGGCTCTAGTACTGCCTGCTGGTCTTGCTGATTCTTCCTTAGATTAAACAGCAATTCAGGATGATGGCTTTCTTCTCTCTCTCTCACTCTCCTTCCTTCGGGTCTGATTTGTCTTATTGTCTGAACCTCTTCCCATTTTCTCTTATAGGAGTTTCCCTTACAGGAATAGAATTCTTTCAAGTTTAATCCTGTTGTGGTGTCTGCTTCTTGGAGGACCTAGACTAACACATTCTGCAATTTCTATAAAAACATACTATCGTGTGAAATTACGAAGGAGAAAAAAGATGTTTACTATCACTTTAATGATGATGGTATTCTAATACTGCTGGATTCTTAAGTTTAGGAAAGTTAAAACTTTATGTAATTGAGAGCTAGCCTCTCAGTTTTTTTCTCATAACAGTTTATTGTCTGTTTATATCTAAATTTGCTTTCAGAAGGCTGAATTATTACAGTAGACAGATCAGGAGCTCATGTTCTAAAAAATTGTTAATTTACTCAGGATGATTGGATGGTTATAAAGTATTAAGCAGTTATAAGTCATCTTTGAGCTAACTAAGGATATTTAATCAGAAAGTAGAAAGAAATATTTGAGGATATGTTGATAAGTAATATATTGTTGAAAGCAGCATAATAAGTAGTAACAGATTTATTTGTTACAAATATTTGGTAAGTGTTGCTTTCAATTTATATGATTTATACAAGAATGCTTATATTTTATATGTTAATGTTAAAATTCTTCTTTCTTTGCAGAATCATGGTGAAAGATTCGTTTTCATTGCAGAGTGGTATGATCCAAATGCTTCACTTTTTCGACGTTACGAACTTTTATTTTACCCAGGGGATGGATCTGTTGAAATGGTAAATGAGCCTTTTTTTTTTTTTCCTTAAAAGTTAGCAAAGGGAGTGAAGATGGGAATAGGGAGAAGAGTAGGATTGCCTTCTATATAGTTGCTCTTGAAAATACATTATATACATATGTATGTTTTTTTCTTCTTTTTTTAATGGGAATTCTTTTTTTGGTATTATAATTCCAGTACAAGAAGATAACTTTGTGCCTTTATCTTTAATGTCAAATAGTAATTAATATTTTTTGGTTGGAAAACTGAAGTGGGATTATTCATGTTTTAGATTAAGCAATAGTCAATAAGTGAATGTTATAGATAAAGATTATCATGGTCCTAAATATGTCACCATTATTGAAAGCTGTTACCTCTACAACAAGTCAAATTGAAGAAGATCAGGTTAAGAGAGTCCCACTTATTTTTTTTTGTCTCTTTATTGGCAACCATTTTACAGGTAGATCTCTTTGGTATTGGCATTCTGTGTAGGCAAGAAAGCAGAAATTTGGAATTTTTCTGGGATTTCATAAGCACTAATTTGCTGAAATGATTTGGCAATAAACAAATCTTTTTATTCATGGTTTTTAAAGTATTAAATTTGTAATAAGTTTTTGTGTTATTACTAGATTGGACTAGGAAATACAGAAGTTATAAAAGAAATTATGATTTGTATTTGTAACAAAAATGAAACAATGTAAGCTATGTTTAATAAAGCAGAATTAAGAATCATTTCTAATTTATAGTATGATTAACATTGTCTATTGATAATTATATGTCTTATTGTGTTGTTGGTTTTGGTTCCAGCATGATGTAAAAAATCACCGCACCTTTTTAAAGCGAACCAAATATGATGATCTTCACTTGGAAGATTTATTTATAGGCAACAAAGTAAATGTCTTTTCTCGACAACTGGTGCTAGTTGACTATGGGGATCAATATACAGCTCGCCAACTGGGCAGTAGAAAAGAAAAGTAAGAAAAGCTTTTCTTCATTCTTAAAACATTGTATATGTCTTCGTACAAAATTCTAATTTCTTGTTTCTGTCTTGTGTTTTTTACAGCATAGATACTTTTCCAATTCAGTGACCCAATTCAGGGTTATGACATTTTTAGGATTTTGAGGAGTAGATTCAGCGACTTGCTCTTCACTCACATAACAAAGCGATGCCTATAGTCTTAAGCAATGATTATTTTCTGGAGGAAAAAATGCAAACTTTTTATATGCCCTCATCTTTCTTCATAACATGCATTTAACTGGGAACTGAAAATGTTGGAACATAAATAGTATTGGTGTATAGAATAAACCTGGCTTATGGGGAAAAAATAGTGAGTACCATAGCAGGGAAGGCCCTGTGAAGGTATTTGAGCTGGATCCTGAAAGATAAATTGGATTTTTACCCAGTTAGATCAAGAGCAGGGAATGCTGGTCACAGGAATACATATAAGCAGAGGTTCAAAGGCAGAAAGTTGTATGTCGTGTACTGGGAAGAGCCCATTGTTCTGTTTGACTGGCTTGGTGGTTAAAATTTTTTTAAAACTTTGATTAGTAAAATAGTCTGAATTAGGATGGTAGCAGTAGGTCTGAAGAGGAAGAAATGTGCAAGATTAGCAGAAGCAGAGGGATAGTAGTAATGGTAAGCACTCAGTGATGGCTAGCTATTATTATATCAGGCATGGTATTAAAATGATCTGTATGGGTTATCTGAGTCCCGTGACAACCTAATAAAAAACAAAACAAAACAAAAAAAGGTACTATTATGATTAGCTCCACTAATCACTCCACTAAGTAGATGGGGAAGTTGAGGCTTGGAGGAGATGTTAAGTAGCTTGCTGACGGGCAAGAGGAGGGGCAAGATAAAGCCCCCAGTACAGTGTAATTTAAGAATGGGTGGATTTAATCATAGGAGAATGGAGAGGACCTGGAAAATGGTTGCCCTCTTTCTGCCTCAATCCATTTGCATGTCTTCTGGCACCTAGCACATCTCCTTACACGTTACAGGTACCTTATCTGTGTTAGCTGAATGGATCAATGGATAGCAATTTAGAACTCATTATTTACTCTTGCCTTTTTAAAAAATTTCCTCCCTTGGGCGCCTGGGTGGCTCAGATGGTTAAGCGTCTGCCTTCGGCTCAGGTCATGATCTCAGGGTCCTGGGATCGAGTCCCACATCGGGTTCCCTGCTCAGTGCAGAGCCTGCTTCTCCCTCTCCCTCTGCCACTCCCTCTGCTTGTGCTCTTCTGTCTAGCTCTGTGTCAAATAAATAAATAAATAAAATCTTTAAAAAATAAAAAAATAAAAAAATAAAAAAAAATAAAAAATTTCCTCCCTGTTTACAAATGATGACCTTTGATCTAGTTGACAAAGATGTTTTTGTGTAGATTGTTTGTAATGAATGTTGTCTATTCCTGAGCTTTATACACAGACATAATATATGTGTGATGAATATTGACTGATCAAGTGAAGAAAGAATGAGTACTACAAAAACAACAACAAAAAAGTAACATAATTATGATACACAGAAACTTACCTGTCTTGTTCACCTAAAGACCATTATTGTGATGCCTCAAACAGTAAATTATTCACAGGGAATGCCCCACAAAAATGTGTTGAATGAATGAAGGAAGGAAGGAAGGAAGGAATTTACATCACTGGAAATAGTTATGTCTGGAAGAAGTGCTGGTGGCTGGCTGGCCTCTCCAGCTTCTCCTTTCCTCCCGTGGCATGCGTCTCCTCCGATGTCCAGAAGCTGCAGCATGCGGCCTTCCAAGCGGCCCTGTCTCTTTAGTCTTCTCCCCATATTGTTTGTCAGACCTGCATTTGTCATCCTGACTTTACCTCAGTTCCAATTTAGAAGAGAGACAAAAAATGTTGGAGATGCAGCTGAAAATCAGGCTATACTGAGAACAATGACTTTTTTACTAATATTTTTCTTCACAATGTCAGTTTTCAGTATTACTAAGGTGGCATTTTAATTTTCAATCTCTACATTTATGAGTTTGCAACCTTCTGAGGCTAGAATGGCTGTATTTGAACTGAAATTTTACTTCTTTTGTCATCTTTGTTGGCTTCGGTTTCAGTGGCTTATATATTGTATTGTCTTGGGAGATTCCTTGCATTGTGGAATGATTATTGTATAATTAAAAGTAGGGACCACTGGTAGAAGGTAAGCCTATCTATATAAAAAGCTCCAAATACCTTTTAATTTGATAGGAAAAAAAAATCTGTCCAACTGTCTTTTGAGGTCTACCACCAAAATAACTAGCCAATTATATAATATCCAAGTAACTCCCAATAGTAATATTCTTTCTGTGACTTCTTTACAAGCCTCTTGTAGCCCTTTTTACAAGTCCTTTATAATTCTCAAGGTGGTTTGTGCTCATTATGGATATTAGTACACAGGTGGTGATGGATCAGAGGGGTGATGAATGTCTCGTGTAAAAAGACCACTCCCAGAATAACTCTGAAATGGGGAAAAAAATTTGAATGTTAGATAAATAGGAATCTCTCATTGTTATGGGGTCTAGTGGTGAAAGTCTATGAAATTAAGGAAACATCTACCATAATTCCTTTATTTGCAAGTAATAAATATTTCTAGTTTTAAATTTTTTGAGCACATGCTGTATGCGGAGTGCTGTGATAGGCACTTTCCATATGAGTCTCAGTTCAAGACTACTTTAAGTTTTCATTTAAACTAGCATAAGTAAATGAATTAGGGAGACAGGGTTAATAGGATGACTCAATCAAAATAAAACAATAATGCCTGTAGCAATTATGATTTGTAAATATATATATATAAATTCTACTTATTTATTTTTTGGGCTGGGGGTGGCGGGGCAGGGGCAGAAGGAGAGAGAGAATCTCAAACAGACTTCACGCTGAGTGTGGAGCCTGACCTCACGAGCCTGAGATCACGACCTGAGCTGAAATCAAGAGTCGGATGCTTAACCGAATGAACCACCCAGGTGCCCCAATATATTAATTCTATTTGTCTAAAGTGAATGTCATTGATTCTATTTTATAGAGCAATTAAGTAACTTGGCCATAGTCACAGAGCTAGAAAGTCAAGAGAACCAGTAAACTTTGTTGCATTTGACTCAAACTCATTCTTTATTAAGCCTCTAATTAAGGGGCGCCTGGGTGGCTCAGTTGGTTAGGTGACTGCCTTTGGCTCAGGTCATGATCCTGGAGTCCAGTGATCGAGCCCCGCATCGGGCTCCCTGCTCAGCGGGGAGTCTGCTTCTCCTTCTGACCCTCCCCCCTCTCATGCTCTCTCTCTATCTCATTCTCTCTCTCAAATAAATAAATAAAATCTTTAAAAAAAAAAAAAGCCTCTAATTAATATGTTGGTAAATATTGTTGAATGGGACTGATTTCAAAAGAGGAGGAACCAAAGAATGTGAAGACATTTTAAATATTTGGGCTTTATAAATATAATTAATGAACACATATGCAGTATTATATTTTTACTGACTTAAACTGTTCCACCATTTTCTCGTTTTTTTTTCCCCCACCATTTTCTCTTTTGATTCTTTCTTAACTGCATGTGGGCTAGTAAATCCAGCAACCATTTGGCTAATTTAAATAAACTTCAGAATTCACGTTTAAAAAATGTAGTTTCATTTAAATGACCAAAAAAGTAGGTATATGGGGAAATACATGTATGTCTATCATGATCCTATAGAAATAACCTGTATGTAATAATTATAACTTAGTCTTGTTCTCAGTGTGTATCAAGGATAATTTATGAACTCAAGACATCCCTGTTATATTCCTCATATTCAACTCCTTTCTTTATACCAGAAAGAAATAGTAGGAGGAAAAAGTAAAATCGATCTCTTTGGTGCCCATCAGCTCATTTTGAGGCAGTTATGCAGAAAATTCAGTATAACTCAGTTCAGCTCTCAAACCAGCCTTGGCTTTCCAATTCCCTTAGATTACATTACAGACATAGGACATTTGACTCACATTTCTACTTCTTTTTTTAAATCTCTTTTTTGAGTTAAAATTGACATTAAAAAGCTGTAGCTATTTAATGCATACAGCTTAATGACTTTGGAGATAAGTCTACACCATAAAGCCATCACCACAATGAAGAATATAAGTCTGTCTATTACCTCCAAAAATTTTCTCCTGTTCTCTTTATTATTTTTTTATATTGATTTGTTTTCTTTTTGTGGTAAAAGCACTTAACGTACAATTTACTCTTTTAGCTAATTTTAAATCTATTTTTTCTTTTTAAAGCTCCTCAAATCAGGGACACCTGGGTAGCTCAGTCGGTTAAGCAGCTGCCTTCGGTTCAGGTCATGATCCCAGGGTCCTGGGATCAAGTCCCACATCGGGCTCCCTGCTCAGTGGGGGGCCTACTTCTCCCTCTGCCTACCGTTGTGTATTTCTTCAATTGTTTTTGTGAACCTAATGGCTCATTTTTATTGTTCTATATAATCAGTTAACAATTCGACTTCACCACTTTTGGCCTTTTAGTAGTAGTATTTTTTACCTCAGACATTCTGTTTGGGATTATTATACTTTTGCTTAAATTAGAATTTCCCTTAGAGTGTGTTCACTGATAGAGAACTCTTTCAGCTGAAAATGTCCTGATTTCACTTATATTCTTGAAACTGCCCTCTTCTCTGTGTCATATGTTTTTGTTGTTTCTCTATGCTTTATTCTGAATTTGTTCAAAATTCTTTCATCAGTTGCATCTAATCTTCTGTCAAACCATTTGGTTCTTATTTTCATTTTTGTATTTTTATCACTAGTGATTCTAATAGATTCTTTTTCAAATCTAACTATCCATTGTTGATAGCTTAGACTTTCCTGTTGCCTGATGCTATTTGCAGCTTGCCTTTCAGTCCTTCCTTTAGCCATAGTTTGCATGATCATTTTACAGTCTATGTCTGACAGTTCTAGTAGCTGAACTATTTGTGGGTCTCTCTGTTTTGTGCTGTGTCTTCTGGTTCTCCCTCATGTT